ACAGGACGAGTCTGAGGCCAACGCCTCTCTGAAGAACTTCTGTTTATCTTGTGACTTTAGTTAAAGTTCAGAACTGGATCTGGGTTCCTCCTCAGGATCTCATTGGTTATTGATTGGAGGCTGATGGCGGCCAGCCAGGCGGATCAGGAAAACATGGTGGCATCATGCAGGCGCTGGAGGAGGAACGAGCAGAAGCACAACGGTCACATCCAGCTAACGGTTAGCATCAGCTATTAATCGTTCATTACAGCTAATTCACCTAAACAGCAATCAGTGTCCAAAGACAGACCGACGGCTGATAAATGAACAAACATTAGTGCAGTTCACACTCAGAGTGAATTAGTGGCAGCTTCCCTGCAGACAGACACTGAATCACAGATCAGAAACTCTTCTGCTGCCAAGAGAAACACTGAAACTTATTGGCAGTGCTCACCGTTTCAGCTGCCCAGACTGCCTGGCTGTAAAAAACTCTCAACTGTTATTGGTCACAAAGTATGAGTGTTATCAGACTGACTCTTTAATTACATATCTACTGTAGCAAGGCTGCACTTTAACCTGAAGAATTGATTTTAATTCTCATATTTTACAGATAATAACTTCAATATTCCCCGAGTTGCTCTATGCAACTGTTGCACATCAACCCAGAAATCTCCTTCAACAAATAAATCTCTCTGTAGGAACTTTATTTAAAACTTTTTCTTTTTTAATATTTCATCCTCTGCTGTTGGACCAGTTCTTCAAGAGGAAAGTTCAGCCACTACAGCAGACAACAGAAGTCAGGCTGTGCAACAATTTGGCCTGAACTTCTCTGCAGACTGCGACCCGGTTTTAAAAATTCATGCACTTCTTCCTGCACTGAAAGCAACACTCATCTGCCACTGTGACTCCTGACTCACAACACGGATGGAGACAACGTCGTGTCCTCTTCCAGCTCAGTCCCCAGACAAATTGTCTGAGCTACTTAGTCCTGCAGGTTCCTCCTGCAAGTCAAACATCCACATCTCAGGAAAATAAGAAGCTTCGTTTTACAAACTGAAGGGAAAAAAGGACCAACCTGCAGAATAAATGAGTTTTTTTGTTACATCAACATAAATCTGCTGAGTTTGAGTCGGAATCGGCCACAGAGCAAAACGCTGCACTGGTTCGGATCCACAAGAACCAATAAATCACCTGGTTTCCTGCTCAGACCAGAATATTAATTCATTCTGTGTGTGAAGTTTTCTACTGCAAAGTTAAATAAGGAAGAAGATTATCAGCTATTTTTAGGCTCCTTTGGGTCACAGACCCACACAGAACAGGAAGAATATAAATACACGGTTCAATGTAGGACTTGGAGTCAATTTATGTTTTCTCAGAGACGCACTATTCACAAGGATATATAAATTATTAATATAATAAACACTTTGGCATTTGTTCTAATAAATCTAAAATAAAGGCATTTTGAAGAACAATAAACGTCACAAAGGGATGGAAATAAAAGAAAATCAATAACTTTGACTATTTTGATATTGTGAAACTTTGTTTTGTGTGTGTGTGTGTGTGTGTGTGTGTGTGTGTGTGTGTGTGTGTGTGTGTGTGTGTGTGTGTGTGTGTGTGTGCGCGCGCGCATCTATTTTGAACATATATAATGTGTATCAGAGCGACAGTACCGGTGGTTCTGCAGTGAAGGGACAGTTTGCAGCTCCGGGTTGATGGATGATGGTCGGAACTTCAGCAGGTCAGTGAAAGTCAGACCCGCTGCAGAACCGACAGTAATGAAGCATCTGGTTGTTTGCTGCAACCTGCAAACTGCGGGAAGCTGAGAATCCGCCGGAACCTGCAGCTGCAGGCGGGAAAATAACGAATCTCTTTAGTCTGAAAAGGTCAGAAAAGACGGAAACCAGCTGGAGCACGAATCACTTTCAGGACTTTTATGACTGACTGGCTTCAGAGAAAACAAACAGATTCCTTTAGCAACCAAATGGCAACATTTAAATGAAGCAAATATCCCCCTTAAAGTGTTGCTCCTCAATAAAACACAGAGTCTGACTTGATCTGGGTTTTTCCGGCGTGTTGTGAATATTTAATGTAAAGGTGAAGCAACAGAAATCCTCTCTGCGGACCGCGGGGTGGAACTTATGGAGCAGCTTACCGCTTTGCGTCCCGCTTTGTGTCCCGCACTCCTCTCCTCTCCTCCAGATGGCCGGATGAGATCCGGGGGATACCCCGCCCCCCTCCTCTGTCTGCGTGATCCCACCGCAACCTCTTCAACTCCACCGCGGGCGGTCCGCCAGCAGCCGCCTCATCCCGGGGGGAGCATCCCCGGCGTCCGCAGCCTCCAGCCGGCGGAAGGCGGGCAGCGGTCCGGAGCCGCGGTGCGGGAAGCAGGTAAAGGTTCGGTGAAAGTGTCCCGTTCCAGCCCAGCCGGCGGTACTGCGGGAGCAGGAGGAAGAGGAGGAGGAGGAAGAGGCGCAGGGAGGGGCTGTGCGCAGCTCCGCTGCCCCGGGCAGCTTCACCAAGTTCAAGTTTGCGTAAAGGTGACCGGAAGCGTCACGGCACCACGCAGCGTAGATCCAGCAGACGGGTCCAGCGGAACCAGCCGAACCAGCGAGGCTGGCTCCGGAGTCCGCGAATAAATCCGCCTCTGGGCGGATTGTGTGAAATTCAAGGACACAGGAGATGTTGGGTCGCTGGTTTTACCCTCAGCGCGATGCGCGCGACAGGGGGCGCAGTTTCCTCCCAAACTACATGAGCGACAATAAATACAGACAAGAAGCAACAGAAACTACAGCATCCAACCATCATCCAACCATCATCCATCCACCATCCATCCATCATCCATCCATCATCCATCCACCATCCATCCATCATCCATCCATCATCCATCCACCATCCACCATCCATCCATCATCCATCCATCATCCATCCACCATCCAACCATCCAACCATCATCCATCCACCATCCAACCATCATCCAACCATCCAACCATCATCCATCCATCCAACCATCCATCCATCATCCATCCATCATCCATCCACCATCCAACCATCATCCAACCATCATCCATCCATCATCCATCCATCCATCATCCATCATCCATCCATCCATCATCCATCCATCATCCATCCACCATCCATCCACCATCCAACCATCATCCATCCACCATCCATCCATCATCCATCCATCATCCATCCACCATCCAACCATCATCCAACCATCATCCATCCATCATCCAACCATCATCCAACCATCATCCATCCACCATCCATCCATCATCCAACCATCATCCAACCATCATCCATCCATCATCCAACCATCATCCAACCATCATCCATCCACCATCCATCCATCATCCATCCATCATCCATCCACCATCCAACCATCATCCAACCATCATCCATCCATCATCCAACCATCATCCAACCATCATCCATCCACCATCCATCCATCATCCAACCATCATCCAACCATCATCCATCCACCATCCATCCATCATCCATCCACCATCCATCCACCATCCATCCACCATCCAACCATCATCCATCCACCATCCATCCATCATCCATCCACCATCCATCCACCATCCATCCACCATCCAACCATCATCCATCCACCATCCAACCATCCAACCAGGACTTTGTGTTCTTCACACTGTGATCAGTTGTTGAGACATGATGAGATGGCGCAGTTGAGAAACCATCACTTATTTATGTATTTTTAAAAATAATTACTGTTTATAGTTGTTTGAGTTATGTGAATATTTTTTATTTTTTGGTTGGAGATAATTGCATAAAATGTCACATAAATATTAATTGAAATAAATTAAAGAAAGATTACAAAAAACATTTTAAAGTTTTTAGTTTTCTGTTGTTGATAGGCAACAGGACCAACTTGGGAGGATGGATGGATGATGGTTGGATGATGGTTGGATGATGGTTGGATGGTGGATGGATGATCATCCAACCATCATCCATCCATCATCCATCCATCATCCAACCACCATCCATCCACTATCCAACCACCATCCAACCACCATCCAACCACCATCCAACCACCATCCATCCATCATCCAACCATCATCCAACCATCATCCATCCATCATCCATCCATCATCCAACCACCATCCATCCACCATCCAACCATCCAACCGTCATCCAACCATCATCCATCCACCATCCAACCATCCATCCTCCCAAGTTGGTCCTGTTGCCTATCAACAACAGAAAACTAAAAACTTTAAAATGTTTTTTGTAATCTTTCTTTAATTTATTTCAATTAATATTTATGTGACATTTTATGCAATTATCTTCAAAGAGTGGATGGTGGGCAGGAAGGAGCTCCAGTAGCAGTCAGTGTTCCAACATATCCGAATAAGCCTCTGACTGAAAACTGTTGCTGTTTGACAGTCTCATGCTAACATGCTAACAGCTCAGCATCCAGACATCACAGTCACGTGATGACATCATCAGCTGCTAGCAGCTCTGCTCATCCGCCTTCTTCGCTTTAGCTGCTGTTCTTTAAATCTGACTGAACGGTCAGAAAGCTGAGCAGAGAGCGGCTCCTGGTGGTAAACAAGACGTAGCTCATGAAAAACATTTCTGACTGCATGAAGCTTTCACTGTAACCTGGGTGGTGCAGAATAACAGGTCAAAGATCAGACCGACGTCCGCCATGGGAAATCAGTTTTAGGATTTTTTCCACATAAATAAACCTTGTTTAACAAGAATCAGCCGTACTCAGGGATTCCTCTTCAGTACCATAGGAAAAGCAGCAGACCTCCTACTGAGAGAGAAACATCTTGGTTGAGATGCAGGAAGGCCGACGCTGCGTTTCTGACTGAACAGCTGCATCGCAGCACGTCTCAGTGTCACAGGCTGACTTTGAAAAGCCACGGACCAAACATAACTCAGCGGACCCCCAGAGATCCGGGCTGCAGATTTCTGCGGGTTTGTCCTTGAGAAGCAGCTCATTAGGCCTCAGGGAGAAACATGGAGCAAACGGTTTGTTGCGGCCTGGAGGC